GAGGTGCCAGTCTCATCCTCTTGTTCCTCTCACGCGGTTCTGGCGAGCTAAGAAAATGTTTCTCTCCCTGATCTTGGCCTTCATAATTCCATTCCATCACAATTCTGCTCATTTGCAACCAACATTTCACCTGATCCTAATTCAATAGTCCTTTCAGTTTCTATTCCTTCCCAAAGAAATGGGGATGAACAGTTTCAGCTTAGCTTACGGAACAGTGGAGCGATTCTCAGGAAAGTCTGGCAAGATGGGATGGTCATCTGCGTTCGATATTTCAGGTTTAGCAGTTGGAGACACAGATTCCCTGACTCCTGCACAGAAAAAACAAGGATGGGTTAGAGCAGTAGTGGACATATTACTCAGCTTGGTCAGGGGGCAGATATTTCCAGGGACAGTATCTTCTGACATCCCACTATCATATTCTCCACCATTTTCCGTTAGGCCTTCTCATCTCCTACTCTGGCATCTGATGATCCCCCTTCAATGTGAGCTCCAGATCCCTAAATCACTCCAGATTACTAACCCATACCCCAACCCTAACATCGGAGCACCTGATACATCTCTGAATTAAGAACTTGGTCACCTATACTTTTTTCTTCTACCCATCTGAGACAGGATGGGCCCAAAAAAGGCCAACTCGCCATGAAAGTTGGTTCTCACACATTCTACTTTTGTAAATACTCCTTTTGTTAGCATTTACTTTTACCTGATACTAAAGCTGCCTGTTACTAAAACCAGAAAGAGATGGTTACTCTAACTCTAACCCGAAAGCCTTTTATGTAGAGTGAGTAGAAGAAAGAGGCACAACAACTATGAATATGGATTATTATAAACAGAGCTCGCATTTGATGCCCAGCAGTCATCTGAGTTCTGTTGCAATGGCTATTTAGTTTTTTGATAATTAGTCCAATTAGCCGGGAGGAGCCTGACATTCACCATACAGCTGCCAAATCCGGACTCTGTCTTCATAAGGCAAATCATATTTCAGGGGGTCTCCAACGGGTCCCTGGTAGTAAGGCCTCATGATTGATTCAGTAGCGGAGATGTGGGTTAAGCCGATAGCGTGGCCAAATTCGTGGACCGCCACAGCAAACAAATCCATTCCATCAGTATCTGAAAATAATAGTGAAGACATACATGGACCAGTGCATAATGTTGAGCTCCTGTCTACAGCTGCTTACCATGGCTGACTGGTAGAAAGCCATCCTCTGCTATAGGTTGCCTCAACTCTCCTGCCATTGTGGTGCAATGTCTTCTTAAGTTCAAACCCAACACTAGTGCTTGATCCAATTCTTCTGCAACACCAGTCTGGCTTTGCTGTCCTGATGTTGATGGTGCAACATCTAGACCTTTTTCTATCCTACTGTGTCTCCATGGTTGGGTAGCTCTAGCACATCTTGCTTTGGACTTCCTCCTTCTCCTTTATTCCCCCCCCCCCCGCCCGCTTATCTTGCATTGGTGCTGATGAAGGAACACAAAACCCTCCCTCACAAATTCTTTGGCCCCTTTCCTGCCCCGACATACCTGATGACCGGAAAGTCCAATACTCATCATCATCAAAGTGAGTGTCTCCGGCAGTATGATGTTCTCCTGGGAAGAAAGCGTGTGCCACCGTGCCACCGGGGCCATCAAAGGGGTAGTCATCATTGTGATCTGTTTTGGAAAAGTCGATCTGGATGTCAGCATTGTTGCCTCCCACTTCATGGAAATTGAGTGGCGTGATGTCACTCCACACCTTCAAGGCATAGTACATGAGGGCGCGAACTGTGTCATGGCCCAGATGGGATTCTTTGGGAAAAGTTCGAACTCTGAAACGAAAGATGGGAGCCAGGATCAGAAATGCATTCTTCTTCGAACCACCATGACGTATCTCTGTCTTTCTTAGCCTGTGGCCCTCCAACTCCCAGCCTAGTTGAAAAAAAAACCTAGAAATTTGGAGAACTGTCATTCCAATATTCCTAGCGTAGGAAGGCTGCCTACTTATTCAACTGGAAGTTCATTATAGCTTATCAAAAAAAAAAGCAATAAAACCAGACAATGAACTTATTTAAAAATGAAGCATGTTACCTAGCTGAAGAAAGCAGAGCTGATCAATAAAATAAAATTTAAGTCATTTGTTTAAAACTACGCATCTGTCTACATTGATAAAATAGTCTATATATCATATGCCACATTTCCACAGAGAGCAACTTATGCAGCAAAATGGATTTCCTTGTCTAGACCTGGCCCAACTTAATTACAGTTCATAGAACTGGAGAGTTTCACCATTTCATAAAGTCTGCCCAAAGTCAATGTTTACTCCCTGCATCTAAGAAAACATCCACCAAATGATTGAATGAAAAAAAATTATTTGTTCTTCTGAGCAAAGCTCGACTCTCAACGGTTGCCATAAACCACTGGAAAACCAAGCGCCATCGCTTCCCAGATAATACTGCATTATGAGTTTAACCCTACTGAGTAACTTTGCTTTTTCAAAATCCTTTTTTTTCTTTCTTTTTTTGGTGATCTATCGGTAGGAGCTTCCTGCTGGGTTTTTTAAGGATTGAAGGCTGAAAGAGAGTAAGTTGTAGGAGGTGACAGCAAAATAAGTCCCGGAAGGACTTGGAGCAACAATGATCATCAACCCATCTTGTGGTTGCTCAACGCTGTTGTATAGCTTCCTGATAAAACTGGAGTGGGACTCTTTTTGGAAACCCATCGCTTTTGATCTGGCCATCCCAAGGGAGAGAAATCCATTTTCGAGTTGGCAATGTATTTCTTTTCACAAAGCCAACTGGAGAAATTCTTTGGTTCAAAGTGTAAATGAATGAACCCCCACTGGACATCCAGAAGGCAGAAAATGGGTCACTATCTCTGAATACAGATAAAGCATTTTCCCCTTCAGTGTTGGCAGTGCAAAGGTCTTCCTACCCTCCATTGAACGTGGCCAGACATCCTCGTCTATAAAATAAAACCGAGCTCCAGGCACTGGTTTATTAATTTATTGCATTTATAGCCTCCTTTATGCCCTACTAGATTCAGGCTGGTGTCTAAAGCATGAAAGGAAATAATTCACAAGGAATGGGCAAAGGAAGTGATCTTCCTTTGCCTCATCTCCCCACCAGGTATCAATCCAGTTCATGAATGAGCAGATTACCCCAGTCCAGATGTGGAGGCAACTGGTGGACCAGCTACGACTGGTAAAGGTTCTCAATCCCACAATGGCTGCTTGGGGATTCAAAATAATTTCATGAGAGGTAGACAAGGGGTCTCTTCCTTCTTCACCATTACTCACTTGCTTTCCATTCACTTTTTTAAAAAAATCTGTTCAATCGTGTCCAATTCTTGGACAAGTCCCTGCAGGTTTCTTGGCAAGGTTTTTCAGAAGA